GGTTGCTCTGCGTTTGTTCACATCCATCAACAACACAGAAGCAAGCTTGATCCTAAATCCCTCAAATGTATTTTCTCAGTTACATCCCAAATCAAAAAGAGTGCAAATGCTATTCCCCAGTCACAAAGCGATTCTACACCTCAATGGATGTTACATTCTTTGAAAACACACCATACTTTCCCAAATCAGTTATTCAGGGGGAGAATGTGCTAGAATACCAACTTTGGGACATAGATGTTCCAGCATCACCATCACCGAGTCATCCTCCAAACCCAGTCACTGGTCCGGCCATCACCACCACTATGTCTGTCCCAAACTTCCAACCTGAAACCACTACTTCAGATGTCCTCCCAACCTCAAGTCCTATCCAACATCTATAGCTTGCCAACAATGGTGAGTTCATTGTATATTCCCGGAGGAAGAAGACCCAAGAGGATGTAGAGCAACAAGCACCTTCTGAGCAGCGTCAAGAGGCTGAACCGGATCCAAGAGTTCTTGAGACTTTATCACCAGGTAACACTAGCTCTGTGAACATTATAGATGAGCCTATTGTTGATGATCTTGATTGTCCAATTGCGTTAAGGAAAGGGGTGCGATCTTGTACTAGTCATCCAATTCACAATTTTGTATCTTATAAAAAATTGTTGCCAAACTATCAGACTTTTGTGGCAGAATCCACGAAGCCATGTCTATTCCAGAATGGAAAACAACAGTATGGGAAGAAATGAAGGCTCTAAAGAAGAATGGAACTTGGAAAATTTCGGAGCTACCAAATGGGAAGCGTACAGTGGGGTGCAAGTGGATATTCACTGTCAAATACAAGGCTAATGGGAATGTGGACAGGTTTAAAGCACGGCCGGTTGCTAAAGGGTTCACTCAAGCATATGCCATTGATTATCAAGAGACCTTTGCTCCAGTAGCCAAATTGAATACTATTCGGGTATTACTTTCATTGGCTGCAAATCTTGATTGGCCTCTCTACCAACTTGATGTTAAGAATGCTTTCCTTAATGGGGACCTTATAGAAGAAGTTTTACATGGATATCCCTCATGGTTTTGAGTCTCACGCTACTATAAATAAGGCATGCAAGCTCAAGAAGTCTCTTTATGAATTAAAATAATCTCCCAGAGCATGGTTTGACAGGTTCAATAAGACAGTAAGGAAGTATGGATACTCACAATGCCAAGCAGATCACACACTCTTTGTTAAGCACTCATCGGAAGGGAAGATAGCAATTCCCACTGTATATGTGGATGACATCATTCTCACGGGTGACAATGAAGATGAATTGTTCAAACTCAAGACACTACTTTCCAAGGAATTCGAAACCAAGGATCTTGGAAACCTAAAATATTTCCTTGGAATGGAAGTACCTCGGTCAAGAAATGGAATTTCAGTGTCACAGCGGAAATATGTGTTGGATCTTCTTATGGAGACAGGCATGCTTAGGTGTAAGCCAGCTGAGACGCCTCTAGACTCAGGTACCAAACTTGGAGCAAAGGAAGTACTCCAGTGGAAAAAGGGCGATACCAGAGACTTGTAGAGAAGCTGATTTATCTCTCCCACACTAGACCAGACATTGGGCTCGCAGTTAGTGTGGTAAGCCAATTCATGAATGAACCTCCTGAAGAACACATGGAGGCTGTCAATCGAATATTGAGATATCTAAAAATGACACCAGGCAAGGGATTATACTTCGGAAAAACAACAAGAAGAGACATTGAAGTGTTTGCAGATGCTGATTGGGCTAGATCTATAACTGATCGGATGTCTACCTCAGGTTATTGTACATATGTGTGGGGAAACCTAATTACTTGGCAAAGTAAGAAACAACCAGTAGTGTCACGGAGTAGTGCAGAAGCAGAATTCAGAGCACTGGCACTTGGCATTTGTGAAGGTTTATGGCTAGACAGGTTACTCAATGAATGAAGGATTGGTATCCCATCTCCTATGAAGGTGTTTTGTAACAATCAATCAGCTATCAATATAGCTAATAATCATGTTCATCATGATCGAACAAAACATGTGGAGATAGATCGACACTTCATTAAAGAGAAGATAGACAACGTGATCATTAGTCTACTAAACATCTCTGCAAATCAATAAATGGCAGACATCCTCACTAAAGCTTTGCCAAGGAAGAATTTTGAAGAATTGAGTTCCAAGCTCAGCTTAATCAACATTTACGCCTAGCTCGAGGGGGAGTGTTGAAATACTCGACTAGGAATCAGAGATCCTAGAATATTTGACAAAGTAGAATAGGAATAAAGAGATGTATAAAAGGGGTCTTGATGTATAAAAGGGGGCTGGCTGTATATACGTTTCTAATCAATGAGAAAATTATCACTCACCCCTAAATCTTCATGGTCTGTTGATGAAATTGGGGGCACCCTTGGCAGTTCTCTTCAAAACTGCTATCCATTGCATTTGAGTTTTATTGTTACTGCAATTCATTGGTTTCATTCAATAACAATTCTTTTCAATTCTTCTTTTTTTTTCTGTGTTTCTATTGTGATTTCCCATGATTAAGTAGGAACTCATCATTTGGCATCAGAGCTATTTATCTAGGCATGGCTGGGAAAAGAGACAGAAGAATGGACGTTATGGAAAAGGAGGAAGAGGTTAATTACCAAATATACAGAAGAACCTTGATATTATGTGGCAAAGTCAAATCCAGATTTTGCGGTTGCAGGAGGAAGGGGTTGTGAGGCAATGGCGTTTGGAAGGATGAGACAATAGATGGAAGAGGCAAACGGCGGTGAGAAGGCATCAGAGATTAAGGCGGCGAACCCGTGGGAGAACAATGATTCTGGAGGAGATCAAGTAACGAATGAAAACCCTAGAGGAAATTAGGATTTTCTTGAAAACCCAGTCAGGAGTTATGGAGTTAGGAGCAAGGGCTTTGACAGCGAGGCAAAGAAAACCCAGGTGGAAACTGAGGATTTCAGTATGAGAAGTTCGATTGGTTGGGGGAATGGCATACACAGAAGTTGGAGACGCTGAGTTTTCATGGAGAGTACCTGGATGGCTGGATTTTCATATCCGAACCATATATCCAAGTGAATAATTTCTCTAAGAACGAGAAATTAATGGTAAGGTTTTCTATGGGAGGAGATGCTTTGGCTAGGTTTTAATGGTAGGAAGCTTCGAGGCTGTTTGTAGTTGGATTGACTTCAATCACAGGTGTTGCATGATTTTGACCCCGACAAGAAGGAATGTTTTATGAAAGTTCTTAGCTATCAGGCAAGAAGGAATGGTGATAGCATGCCCATAAAAAATTTGAGGTAATGGCTACTCTTAAAATAAGCTTGAACAAGTTTTGAGGTTGAAAATGGAAATCCAAAACAAGGTTAGAATAGTGCAACCCATCGGTTTGGCAAGAATAATGGAGTTGGTACAAAGAGTTAAGCACAGGAATTTGATCCTTAGGAGGTCAAGAGAAGTTCAAGGGAATAGCTAGGAATGGGGTATTACTATTGGAGGCAACCCTCTGTGTGCCATGGTGGTCGAGTGTGTTGCCAGGTCAAAGGTTCAAGAATTATATGCAACAAAAGTTGATATTACTATTGGTGACTTGTGGGATTCGGAAGCTAATGTGCGGAAGTTGATAGTTCTGCAGGAGCTTTTTGAGGAGAACCCTGTGAGGCAAATAGTAATCATTTATTGGACGAGGCTTGTGGATATGGATGTGGGCGAGTGGATAGGAGCAAAGGATGATATATGAATGATATCTTTTCAAATAGGCCAGCTTATAAGTTGGATCAACTTTTTGCCAAGCCACACGCGTGTTGGAAAGCTTTATAGAAGTCTAAATTACAGGAGCAGTTGAAGGTGTTTTGTGGAAGTTGTGCTCGAAAGGCCTTACCCCTGCGTGCTAGACTGAACAGATGGTTCCATATTCCAAATATTTCTTGTCCTTTGTGTTTGATTGGAACTGAAAATTTTCAACACCTTGTCTTCTCATGTCCGTCTACTTTGGCCTCGTGGTTTGGTTCTCCATTTGGTGTTAGGAAGAGTTATCGACAAGGGATAGGAATAAAGCACATTAATTCACTCATTGTTAGACCTCCTAATGTGCTTTTTGGTGATTCTGAAAAGCTTGAAGTTTTTCTCTGTGTTGTGCTATTATTCTAGATGATATTTGGAAGGCAAGAAATGCTGTTATACATGGATCAGAGCCTCCTAGTGAGAATTGTCTTCATCCTTGTGCTAGGAGAGTGAAGGAGTTAAAGGCGGTGAAGCAGATGGCGCAGAGGAGTAGTAGTTGGGAGGATTCTCAGGATAATAGTTTGGTCTATGAAGTCAAGTTAGAATCCTCCTCCGCCAAACGTTGTTAAGAGTAATGTCGATGCTGCGGCGAAGGGTGAAAGGGTGGCTATAGGTACGGTGAGGATGCAATTTCGGCAGGGTTGGAAGCATGTATAGGTGGAGGATGATTGTCTTAATGTGATCTTTGCTATGCAGGGAAAGGAAGGGGGTATTTCTTGGCAAATTAGGGACTTTGTTAATGTTATGGAAGCCAGGAGATAGGTTGGCTCTTATGCTTATTTCTGCAATGTCCTCTCTTCGGGTTCCTAGAGGCGTAATGGCGTTGCCCATTCTGCTCTCTGGCTTCATGGGCATTGGATTTGTCCTTTATTTTTCTTTCTTTCTCCTTATAGTATGAACTAACAATTCTCTCTCTTTTTTTTTTTGGATATACTGATATTACTTTTGGAATGTAAATTATCCTTTCAAGCAAAAAAAAAAAAAAAAAGTTTACAACTTTCCTTGTGATTAAAGAACCTAAACTAAAAACATATTTGTAATTGAGATCAAACTTCATATTCAGAGTCAATGCAATACAAGAAAAAGTCAACAGGATTAGTTATTCTTTTTCCCTTTAATTTGGTTATTGATCAACAAAATCAAAAGTTTTTCGAATGCGTAACAATCAAAAGCCATTATCAAAAAAAGAAAAGAAAAGAAAAACCTAGAAAGTAGAGGGAAAAAATGGAACCTGGGAAATGGAATTGGCGAGGCGGCGATTGAGAGTGGGAGAAGAGTCTGAGTAGGAAAGGAAGAGGCCATTGGGGAAGAAGAAGGCGAAAAAGCAGCCGAGAAGGACTCCAATGGCTATGGCGATTGTGATCCTCGATTTATACACGGACTGTGAATTGTCCCTCATTAATGATCCGTCTCTGCGACCCGCCATGTCTTTTCCTCTCTCTACCTTTGCATTCACAGTTCAAGACAGAGAGAGAGAGAGAGAGGAGAAACTGAAATCTTAATTTTGTTTGCTTTGACTATGAGGACAGGGTAGAGATTGATTTTTTGCTTCTCTGCTCTTTTTTACTAATAATTGGGCATCAGATCTTAGAGAGAAAAGTTATGGAAAGTTCGGATTTTTTTTTTTTTAAGGGGCTATAACTATATTGGCTAGTTATGTCCTCAAAAAACAAAACAAAAACGTGTAATGGCGTTTCCCCCAACAAAAAAATCACAAACAAAAATGGATTTTGGCCTTGTTTTTCTTTTTTTTTTTTTTTTTTTTTTTTTTTTTTTTTTTTTTTTTTTGAAAACAATCTTGGTAATGGAGATTTATACACATACAAAAATTATAGGATTTGAAAAATACCAGGTCTTTATTACCTAAGTTGTTAAATTTACATTAAAAATTGTCTATACTTTTTATTTTGATGTGATTTTCATCAAATTAACTCTCAAAAATTTACATTACCGGAAGAAATCATACTGAAAGTAGGACCCCTTAATTATTTTTAATTAGCTAATTATCGTATTATTTGGGTTGAAGACTTGTCGTATTTTCTAATAAAACAAAAATGACGACTAGGTGTAAGGTAGTCTAGAAGGGACATTCTCAATTGTAATAACAACTTCTTCCGGAGACCCGTCCTATTCAAATCCAACGACGAGAGATGGAGAAAATAATACACTAATGAATTTTCAAAAGAGAATAATACACTAATGAATTTTCAAAAGAGAGTAATATAATAGAGCAGTAGGTAAACAATTCACTCATTTTTTTTCGTTCAAGAATCTTTCGATAGGATACTAAAAATATCTATTAGCATAACATAATTTTTAAGGTACGGTACCATCTTTAATCTTATATATACATAGAGAAAATTAGTGAACTCACTATTTAAATACATTATTTTAAAGTTTTTACCATTTACTCTTCATTAATACTCTTTATATTAATTAAGAGTATGAGATGAAAATCTAATACACATGCATTCTAAATGGTATGTGTCTTCTTTTTCTATAGAAGTATTAAATTAATATGATTATAATGTGATTTAATGTTTTAAAATAGTGTTACATGTTTTATAACCCATAATGCTCTTTTTTTTTCTAAGGAAAAAATAATGACTGAGGATGCTAAAAGGTAGGCACATAGCTGTATTCTTGGATCCCATTTATGCAACCTTATTTGACATGGTTAATTAGAGGGAAGAATAATGACTCTGGTTAGGTAAATTCTGGTATTATTGAAAAATAGAATATCTATAATGAGATCCATTTCTTTTGTAGTTATTATTGCAAAGGCTTTGGTCAGCTCATTTTGCATCATTGTTAAGAAATCTTCCTAAAAACTTAAGTGGAATAGTTAATGCAATTAACTCATTATTTATAATTCAAGTTGTTTTATGTCAATGCCTATGAGTTGTTGCATGCATTAAACGACATAAAAAATAGCAAAATTGCATAGTGGTAGACGGGCTAGGGTACCAAACTTTTCCCTTAAAAAATAAGATCATGCAATCCACGATATAAACATCATACTCTCTCTCTCTCTCTCTCTCTCATAATTTATATAATAGAAATCTCAATTCTTGATACTGTTCACGTATTTTTAACTAAAACGGTGACATTTTGATTGAAAATGCATAAATAGTGCACGCGTTGCTATAGTTTTTTTTCTCTCTCTCTCTCTCTCATAATTAATATAATAGAAATCTCAATTCTTGATACTGTTCACGTATTTTTAACTAAAACGGTGACGTTTTGATTGAAAATGCATGAATAGTGCACGTGTTGTTATAGTTTTTTTTCCTTCCTACGGTTTTGTTCTCCTTTCATTTTAGGTCCTTTTTTCCCCTTCTTTTCCTTCTACTTGCCCTAAAACTTAATTTTTTTTTTAATTTTAGTTTTTTTTTAAATTTTTATATGTTTTTAATAATAATACGATAATTAAAATAATACAAGATTACTCCTAACAACTAGTCACAGTTGAGAGTTGAGAATAATTCAATCCACAAACCAATAGAAAACATAATCAACCACTATGGCTCAGTTTAGTAGAGATTATTGGAGGTTAAAATGAATTCTCTAAATAGCCACAGCTCATTTATCATGTTTGGTAAAAACATGAAAAGTGCTTTTGAAAGAATTTTGAAATTATTTGAGGCTAAAATCAGAAGCAGTCTTTCAGCTGCTTCTGACAATCTACAAGAGGTGATTTAATGAAACTTTCGTTATTACACATTTACCTCTGATGAATGAAAAAAAATCCCACACCATTAGATTTCTAGTGGTTCTGTTCTCTCTTATCTCTTCTCTCGAGTTTCCCTCTCTGCTCTCTCTTCGTGCTCTCTCTCTCTACAGACAATCAAGCTCTTCTCTCTCTGTTCTCTCGGTCTCCTCTGCTCGTAAGGGTTTTGATCTCCTCCTGTGATTAAAGTACGAGCGGACTCTCTCGCTTCATATCTCTCCCTCTCAAACCACGAACTCGCCTCCCTCCAAAACCCCGTCTTCCGACCTCCAAATCCCTCGTTTTCAGGCTCTTCTCCGTCTCCGCTGCTTCTGCGGTCTCGTCCTCGCACTATCCGAAGAGCTTCGATGGCGATATCGAGCCGTACTTGTCGTGTTCGATGCCTCATAAACGCCTTAGAGTCGCCGTGCTTCTCAGCGGCGGCGTCGACAGCAGCGTCACTTGGTGCCTCCTCCACGCCGCTGGCCACTCCTACATCGCCTTTTACCTCAAGATTTGGTTCCAAGTAAGGAGAGTTACGTTAATTATTGATTAGTTTTGAGTTAATTAATTGATTATTTATTAATCAATGTGTGTGTTTTTGGTGTAGGACGATTTCGAGAACTTTTGGTCGGAGTGTCCATGGGAAGAGGATTTGAAGTATGCCAAAGTTGTTTGTAGTCAGGTCTGTTTTTTTCCTTATTGGAAGCTTTTGCTTTTGTTTGCTATTTTCCTATTTCACATGAGAGAAAGAGAGAGATTTTGTTATTAAATTTTAGCATTTTCTTTTTCAGATTGAAGTGCCACTTGAAGTTGTACATTTGACTGATGAGTATTGGAAGAATGTGGTACGAATTACTAGATCTGAGCGTGTCTTATTTTAGTTTGCATTTTATATACTTACGAAGAATTCATTCTCTATTCTGAAAACTGTTTCTTCATTGGGACTTCAGCTGACTAGTAATGATATTTAAGCTATAAAAGTTTATTCTGCTCTAAAAATAAGTTATGAAAATTGTTGTTTCATGGTTCAGGTATCCTACATTATTGACGAGTATCGTTGTGGCCGTACCCCTAATCCAGATGTTCTTTGCAATACGAGAATAAAGTTCGGTACGTGTTCAGAGGAATCTTAAGAAGCCGTAATTGTGTTTTTGGATCCCTTTTTTGGATTTGCTTGTGATTATTTTCAGGTTCATTTATGGATGCCATCAGCAGTAGGGAGTTCGACTACATTGCTTCTGGACATTATGCGAACGTTGTCTCATTTACAAATGAAAGAGGCGATGCATCTGTTTTGGAACTATCACAAGACATGGTACTTATGAAGAACGAATTTCCGAATGCGAACTTATTTATTCTTCAATTGCAGATATTATTAGTTTTTTTATTGTCATGTTCTTGTGGAATCTATTTTCACGTTCTGCATTTTGTGTTATGATATTACTTTGCATTATGATAATTTCTCTCTATTTTCAAGTATGTTTGGACCTGTTATATACACAGTATCCCCTGTTCATATCTTCTAATTTTTGCTTTTTAGGTGAAGGATCATGGATTGAGTAAAAGAAAATAGTTCACGGATATGGTTATTTGGTTGGAATTGAAGAGAGAATGAGTTCCATTTTGACTTGGGGAGTGTTCTATTGCGTATGTTTGAAGAATGAAAGGAATTAAGTTTGTATTTGTAGGTATATACGTGTGTGTGTGTGTGTGTGGATATATATGTTTGCAAGAACTATTTTTTTTGGAATGGGGATGTTTACTTGGTTGGAATTGTTTCATGGATATGGTTATTTGTTTCATGGATGTGTTGAACACACTTTTGAAGTTTCTTGCTATCAATGAGGTAATTTTTATTTTTGAAATGATATTTTTATTTGCTCGTTATTCCTTTCTGATCATGTGTTCTTATATTCAAGAAAAATCATGTGTGTTGATTGTTCTTTATTTGTTGTTTTATAATTAATTATCATTTGGCTTGGCCCGTTTTTTGGCATGAAATTTCTCAACAAATTTATCATATTTTCTTGCAGATTTTTGAGAAGAACCACACCAAAATTGATAATTATGGTATTTGGCCGCGTTATCAGAGTCGAATTGGGTACCATAATATGTACAAGGAGTTATGTGACACCACTCTAAATGGTATCGTGGAGCAGATGTACAACGAAATGGCTTCTCGCCACAAAGTCAGGTTCTCATGCATTCAGATTATCAAGACTGCAATTGTCCCTGCCAAGCTTTGCAAGAGAGAGAGCACAAAACAATTCCACAACTCGACGATAAGTTCCCGTTGGTGTACAAGAAGGTCAAACCACCAACTAGGAAGTTGAAGACCACATACAAGGCATCGAGGGCCAACTTGTTTATGTAACTTGTTCATTTGACTATCAAGCTTTTAAGAGAAGTTAAAATGAGGCTATTCCTAGATCTTTTTAGTAGAAACCTCTTTTTTGGTCCATTTTTGTTATTTTATTGGATATTTTGTTATTTGAGCATCTTTGAACCCCAAGTTGGTTTAGATTAAAGGTTTCAAAATTCTTGTTTGCTTACTAATAATTCTACTAATATTAGTGTCCGAATGAAATGTCATTAAATGCACTTTTAGTGTCTGGAAGAAAAAATTGAAAATTTTGAAAGACATGCCAAATTATTCATTCATGAATGAAGTGAAAATAGTTATTGCAACAATGGCGCTCTATAACTACATTAAGAAGCATGATAAGCGTGATCGACATTTTTAAAAGGTCGATGATAATTTAGATGTTTTCGTTTATGAAAAGAATCAATCAAAGGACAATGTAGAAGAAAATCAAGTTTTACTATCACTGAAAATGGATGAAGTACGAGATTAAATTACGGCAAGTTTAATTAACACGACTTAATTCTTTTCATGCCTCTACCAATTTTTAAACATAGAATGTACATTTTTGTTAAACAAATTGATTATTCACTAATGCTCTTTTTAGTTATAACTATATTGTAAATGAAAAAATGAAAAAAAAAAAAAAAAAGAATTAATTATCATAAATTTATTGTTAAAAAACTCAAAATCATAGTATTATGTTTTTTTTCTTTAAGTTAAACAAGTATTTCTAAATACCAAAAATAATTATATATATTTAAGTTTCATACAATGTCTATTTTAGTCATTTTACATACCCACAACAATTCAACCTCAAAATTTATCAAACGCTATTATATTGATTTTGAAACTAGCACAGCTACTATAATTACAGTTTACCAAATACTTAACTACTTTTTTCTTCAGCACAATTAAAAGCAATTTTTTTAAAATTCACAGCACTACCAAACTAAGCATATATCTCATGAGAAGTTAAAGCTATTCACGAGTAGTAATGACTTCAGCCCAAAATTTTCATCCACAAATAAGTAAAATCAAGTAAAAAAATCAAAGAAAGTGAAGAAACAAGCCATCGGAACTGGCAAATATGATATCTATATATACAGTACCTGAAGCTATTAAATACCTATACCGCCCAAAAGAAAAAAAGAAAAAAAAAAAAAGGAAAAAGGAAACGAAACAAAGGGATATTTGAAACAAACTTCTGGGGAGAAAGCATCAATCTTCTTTATCTGATTCTGAGTCTTGAGGGCCCTCAATTACACCGTCTGCTTGCCTCTGCACCGGGCGTATGACATCCCTAACCAGTCCGTTTGCTGATTAAGAAGACGAGAAAAGGATAGATTAAGTATTCATGAGAGAGTGAACTAATAACCTCAGTGTAAAAATGTCGTAATGTCTATAATACCGTAGTGAATGTTAGTACTATAACTAAGAATTCTAATGAAGAGTAAATTGAACTCTTATTAGGCTTAACACCCACAGCAGAGTCCAGATAGGTTCATACCGAATTCCAGAGCCTTCATTAAAAGGGTCTTTGCAAACTGTAATTCTGCTCCGTGTGCACTGACAAATTTACTCTGCAACATTTAGAAAAAGTTAAGACCTCCAGAATTTGCACCCACATTGAAGTTTGGTTTCAAGCAAAAGAGAGGGAGAAAAATGTTAAATTTTAAGTCTTTAGATCTCAATGGTATTGACCGTATAAGAGTAGCTTAATAACATAGAATTTCATCCCGCCAAAGACTTTTCCAACTAACATAAGATTAAGCAAAATATGAACTCAATTGACTGACAAATTTACGTCAAATAACAGACTTGCTTACCATTTCACGATATACAAACTCCAAAATTTGATCCATTCTTGCTTGATGTTTCAGTAAGAATGGGCGCAAATGGCCCATGTACAAACGCTTTGCCCCCTGTTCAACAGCAGGCAAATCATCATCGGAGCTACTTTTTGAACGTGACTTGGTTTTAAATTTTCAATTACATTTGTTAGTCTTCCCTTTTTTTTTTTTTTTTTTTGTTAATCGTAATATCTATTAATACTTGATCAAATATAGAATGAAAGATGTTGACTACACCAGAGTAATAGTTCATCTATCTCTATCTAAAAAAAGGATCCTTTTTGTTAAAAAAGGGAGGGGGTGGGGGAAGAAACATATATAAGTCAGAAAGCAATTAGAAGGTGAAAGGAAGGCTAAAAACCAATATAAAAGCTTACATTGGCGGATGGAAGTTGTAACCAAACAAGAAAAGCAAACTTCACATGATAGTAAAGTGGAAACCTGATGAAGAAATGCCCAGGACCTCTGTTAGATTGCAAAACCACGTCGGTAAAGCAGAAAAGAATACTTCCGTGGTTTAACTATTAGTTAATGATTAAATTCAGCCATAATATTGTTAGATCTCAATTCAATATTTAGTAAATTAGAAGGTAAGAGATACTGATACTGAAGTAAACTAACTTGAACTAATATTATTAATCGACGGGAAAGAACCATGGGGACATGAAAGAGTACCAGGATAGAATTTTGTCTGTAAACATTTCTGCGAGACTGAAAGATCCAAAAGCTGCAAGTTACAAGAGAGGTCAAAAGAAAAAAGGAACTAGAAATGCAAAATAAAAATGATGAAAAAATGGACTACAACAACTTTAGAAGCTGAATGACTACATGACCATGCAGGCATGCATCTCCATACACGAATGCAAATCCATCCGAGTGGTTATGCCGTTCTCTTATCTGGTACATTCAGTTCAATTTATTAAGCTCCTAATATCATTAACTTTTTCCACACCTAATACTATAACATCTGAAGCCTACCCCCTTACAATAAGATAAATTCATGCAGTGAAATTTTAATAAATGGCAGACCGAGACGGTAAGTCGTCCTTAATTTTCTTGGCACTAAAACTTATAGTGATAACTAATAAAGGCTGTTAAACTAGCAAGAGCATCACTGACCCGCCCAATAAACAAGCCATCGTTGTTGCTCATTTTGATCCTTTTTCTCGATAGCTTTGAACGTTGAGTACACAGGTAAAGCAATTCCCACAGAACAACTGCAACAAAATCACTCTTTAGCACCCAATGCAAAATGAAGTACCACGTTTTAGCTTGATATTTCTGAATAAAAAAAAAAAATTCATATCTTCCTTGTAACAATTTGGGAAATTGACTTTGAATTGCGAACTCCATTTAGACATTGCGAACCCAGCAAAGCTAGGCATAGGCTTAAGTCCTTCATAAAGGATCAATCATATATGTAACATGTAAAAGTAGTGGGTGTAGCATAACAACAATTCAGTGTAACAATAACTTTGAAAATCTATAACAATAAGAAATTTATCTATCACATACCAGTGTTATATGTTTTTAGTTATTGTTACATACAATAAGTGTCATGTTACATCCATATTGTTACATGTTACAGTGTAGAACACCGAAGACAAACTCGCAAAGCTAATATTTTCATTATGGGATATGAATTCTGAATACATAAACTCAAAACTAAAAATCATTTTGCCCATTTTGGCCACTCCTCCGACACTAATTTAACTTCAAAACTAAAAATCAATAGTTCTGCTATCCTATTGCAATTTCTACACCTAAATTTTCAACCCAAAAAAAGAAAAGAGAGAGAGAGAGAGAGAGAGAGAGAGAAATGGCTAAGTCTAACGCATATAAATAATCTTTCAGAGAAGGTGAACCCGTAAGGGCAAAAATCGAAACCAAAACAAAAAGAACAAGATACAATTTATTTAGTATTACTATTAGAAACAAGAAAAAAAGAAAAAAAAAAAAAAAAAAAAAGAAGCTTACCAAGCTGTACGGACAACAATGTTGGAATTAAGAGGGCAAAGCAGCAATTGCAATCCTAGCTGTATTAACCAGAAAAAAAGATCAGTAACTAGCATACCGTCGATCAATGATCACTCCAGGGAATCAGGGATAAACGATTTTTTTTTAACAAAAAAAAAAAGAAAATCTATCACAAATTTTGGATTGCAACGGCAGAATTAACGAATTGACGCTTAAATTTCAGGGGCAAAAATAATAAAAATACAAGAAATACATACAAGATGATTAAAAAAAAATCTGGCTGAAAAACTCATAGGCAAGAGAATGGGAAACGAAAAGATCGATAAGGAAGAAGATTAAAGATTAGAGAGAAAGATTGGCATACCTCACTTGGGACAGCCATGAAAAAGGAAATCTAATGATAATTGCAGAAAATGTTAATCAGATTCTGGATTTTCAGTAACGATTTTGATTGGAGAAGCGGACTGGAGGGCTACAATTTTTAAGATGTGTTATTTCTTGGGTTAATTCCACGAATATATGGGGCTTGTTCTTTTGATGTTTTTGAGTTAGATAATTTGAGTGTAGATTTTGAATTGAGTTTGAGTTATAATTTGAGTTGAAATTATAACTTGAGTTTGTGTTTGGTTGTGTACATTTGAGTTATGGTTTGAGATAAGAATCTTTTTTGAGTTTGTGTTTGAGTAAGTTAAAACTTGAATTTGTTTTTAGATAGTATTTTAATAAAAACTCAATGTTGGTGAAAAATTTTAATAGGGTATATGGGTCTAGTTTTATTCGTATTTTCGTTGTCAATGCATAGAAAAAAAAAATCATCTCAATCAGAATTAAAACGAAAAAGTTATAGCATTTTTAAGAATAGAAAAAATACTGTTCATTAACTTGAGTTCGAGTTTCTGAACTCGAGTTGAAGGGAAAACTTGAACTCGAGTTTTAGTTCCAAATTCAAGTTTAAACTCGAGTTCAAACTCGAGTTCAAACTTAAAAGAACATGAACTCGAATAAAGTTATAACTCGAGTTACCTTTTTTTGAGTTTTTCACTCAAAAACTACATTGCCGAACAGGCCCATGGTTCTTCAACTTTACTCTCAATCCCATTTTAATTTTTAATTCTTAAAACGTCTCATAATTAATCTCTAAAATTTTATTTTATTTCAATTTTAATCATTCTATTAATTAGATATTAGATGTTTGAAAGAGTCTCTAAAAATTAAGAACCAAATTAGAAACATTTTAAAGTTTAAAGAAAAAAATAATACAAAAAATAAAAATTAATTCACACAAATAGTTTCTAATAAGTTGTTTAGTTGGGAGATTCGTACACCGATTCGAATCATGGTTCGTAGTTTGTTACAGTATTTTTTCTCATAAAAAATACACGTAAATCAAAAATAGTTCTAATCTCATAATTCTAATCCATAAACCAAACGTCTCCTAAATTTTAATTGTTCCTAAATCCCTAATTTACACAAAGTTCAACTTTTTAACACCTAATTAACACCTATTAACTGTGAAACATTATAAAAATAAAAAACTAAAATAAAATTGAAGATAAACTTTAAAAACCTCTTTTTTTTAAAATTAACCCTTATTTCTTTTCTTTCTTTTCTTTTTCTTTTTCTTTTTCTTTTTCTTTTTCTTTTTTTGATAAAAATACTCAAGTACAACTTTCATCTCTCTTTATTCTTATTACACAAATGTCCAAAACACTCCTGTGAAAATAAAATCAAACGTAAACTATCTTTTAAAGTACAACGGTCAATATCACTCTTCCCAATTTATATTAGGAAAAATATACCATATAGCATATTTGATATCTATGTGTAAAGTAAATAGCATATTTTTTAAATGATAGTAAATTATAGTAAATTATTAATTTTCATTCTTAAATTCCAAAAACCATAAATAACCGAAGCACCTAAGCAGTTTCAGCCCTTTTTTCCGCCTCGTGCGTACTTTTGGCTTACAGTGCTACAGGTGTCTATTACATATGGTTATGGAGATCGTAGTACGGATCTTAAGCTTAATCGTTCTGATATGCAGGATCCTCTGTTAGAGGCAAGCATAGAGCATACTAGATAGAGGGAGGAAGATTATAATATAAGAGAGGGAACTCAGAATTTCAGAGAGAAAGAGAGAGAAATTAGAAACTCATATTTGATTACTGAGAAAACTGTATACAAGTTCTTCTTGGTTCAAGGAACTCTGCCTAAACCAAGAGAATGCCTCGCAATATATAGCTGAGGCCAAACACTAGTCACTCCGACAAGATAAGATACAACCTATTACACTTTTTACTAAATGGGAGAAAAACACGCAACTTTAAATAAAGTAGGAAAAGATAAAACTGCTTTCGGTGGAGTGGCAGACAGGACTCTGATAAAGTAATACTGTACAGGATAGAGGATAACGACTCGTGACTGAGAGATGGGTCCCATCACAGAGAAATAGTGCCTGTTTCTGTGGATGAATTGGACGGACTTTTTCTCGAAGACAGTCACATGTAAGCCACTGATTGAGATATATTGGTGAGTCATTATCTGGATCTTGGGAATCTTGGAATAGTGTGGAGTTGAAGTTTGGTTGTTCCTGTGTGTCTTGGGGTGGTTGAGCAGTATCTTCCTGTGTACTTTGGGGTGGTTGAGCAATGTCAGAAGTTGATGCACTTCCTTGGTTGAATGCAAAGTATCCACTGTTGCTAACCGTGAAGATGTTAGCTGGCCCATAAACATGAAGTGGTGGAGCTATTGCTGAGCTGGTGTAGGGTCGGAGCAGGAGATCTGGCTTATGTCCATTTTCTCTGCATAGAACTTTGCCAAGATGGTCGGAGATATCCTTGAGTGACTGGGGATAATTATACCCAGTGTACCAAACATATATCTCATGTTGGGTGTAAAGTCCCTGTGTCTGGGAATTGAGCAGATATGGACGGTGTAGGAAGAAGACAGTGTGCACTAGGGGGACCTTTCTGGGGGAAAGGGTCCAGACTTGATAACGCTGAAGGAGTCGTTCGACTTCTTGTCTCCACCATGGGAGTGGATTGATCATTTCTAGAAGTTGCCAAAGAGCTGACCCCTCGTTGCTAGGATTACTGAGATGCGTGTGCATTTGCATTAATGGGCAGTTCAGAGCAATCCTGTAAAGAGTCATCAGGCACCATATGTACCAGATGTCATCTTGTGTCACTTTGACAAAAGGTCGGAGGTGGAAGATGGCAAGGTATGGTTGATCAGGATTGTACATGAGTTCTGTTGGGATCTTACAGACTCTAGATAAATAGTCGAAAAGGTGAACCCTTGTATAGTGTTTGATTCGCTCAGGAGGAGCTGTACTATCTAGGCCTGGTGGAAAATGGTGATCTGGTTTCACCGGAAAACATAGTGGTGTGTGGACACTGTTATACATATAGATAAGAGGGAAAGTCTTTTGGGAAGTGATTATCTGGACTGGCTTTGGTCGGGTTAAGAAATCAAGAATGAGATTGTGGTGGCCTTTTATATGTTTGACAGAAAAGTTATATCTTTCAAACCAGCTCTTAAGCCTGAGTAATTACGGATCAGGGAGGGTTTTATTTATAAAGTCTAGGACCTTAGGGAATGATGAATTATCCATTCGAACCTCAAAATTGAATCCTCTAAGATGAAAATCAAATTTTTGGATTCCGTATTTTACCGCAAGAATCTCCTTATAGATGGTGTGATAGTGCTTTTCTGATTCTTTGAACTGGCCACTGGCATGACCACAGTAGTATTTCCTGTCGTCTTGTTCTTCGATAAGAACAGCTCCCCAGTAGTGGTCACTTGCGTCTGTTTGGAGCACTCTTTTTCCTGTGCTTGGAATTTTCAGAGGTGGAGGTGACTGGGCTATCTTTTTTAGAGCACTGACAGCGGCTGTCTGTTCTGTCCCCCATTGAGAAGGATTCTTTTTTAGCATCTTTGACAGCTGGCTTGTGTGTTCAGTCACACGTGGGATGAAATCCCTGAGATAATTGACTATCCCCAAGAACTGTTGAATTTGCTTTACAGTGAGGTTCTTGTCTGGAAACGTCAATAGTTCTCGAGCAATGTGCGGGCCAGGCTGGAATTTTCCTTGGGATATCTGCATCCCTAGGAATTCGATCTGCCTTTGTCCTATTTGGCTCTTCTTTTCTGAAAGCATGATTCCGTGTCTATCCACGATCTGATGGAATTGGGCCAATAGGATCTTGTGGGCTTCTTCATTCTTTGAGAACAAAAGGATGTCATCTATGTAAATTAAGGCACTATACAGAATAGGCCTAAAGATTTGGGCCATCGTTCGTTGGAATAGTGACGGGGCTGTTTTGAGACCAAAAGGCAGGACACGCCATTGGTATTGTGCATCTGGAATGCAGAAAGCCGTTTTGGGCCTGTCCTCTGGGACGTTTCCTAATTGCCAAAAAGCTCCCTTGAGATCGAATTTTGAGAAGACTTGGGCTTCCTTCAAATGAGTGAACAGAGAGCTAGTTTTTGGAATGGAAAATTTGTCATCCTGTAGGAACAGATTTAAAGGCTTGTAGTCAATAACAAGCCTTTTCTTTCCCCTGATTTGTTCGGATCTCTTTTCTACATAGAAAGCCTGGCAGGGCCAATTTGACTTGGTGGGCTCAATTAACCCTTGTTTGAGGAGTTGAGCACATTCTTCTCGGGCCAGGGCTAAGTCTGATGGAGTTATTCCTGGATGAGTAGCCTTCGTGGGGTTAACATCCTCATTCTTTTTGAAAGGAAGCTGTATGAAAAACTTCTGATTTTTCCATAATGGGTTGGGATGGTGGAATTGATCATGACTGTCAGCATAGCATTTCAGAAGTTTATCCTTGATATCTTCATATCTTGTTGGGGCCTCCTTGATGGAAAACATCTTCGGAATGGCGGAGTAGGGCTTGAACTGTCTTTTGTATTTTAATCCTGAAGGGAGGATTTGAAGGCTTCTTGCTTGACAGTATACGTCCATTCCTACGAGGAGGTCTTTGTCGGGCAGTGAACTTCCGAGGACCTTTGTCCATATGACACAACCGGGAAAGAACTTAATACCAATTTTGTTTTTGGTAATCAGTTTTGTCTTGAATACCTGGTCGTCAACAGCTTTGAAGTATTCGATGTGTGGGACCCATTGATCATGTGGAAGAACTTTCGGGTTCATCATTGTTCTTCCTGCACCAGTATCCATGTAAGTGATCAGGCTTACCGGATTATCATACTTTGATGCTAGAATCTGAACCTCAATGTTTGGCAGAGGAGGAGTTGGTGTTGCCATGGAATATTGCTTCATGTTGTAGATTGGGACATGGTAGTCTACATCTTCTTCTGGGCCAGAGTCTTCATAGTCTGAGTCAGGGATTGCAAAGACTGTCTCCATGTCTGGATCATCCTGTTCTGAGTATAGAGACTCAAGATCAGCATCGTCTTCATGTTGATATGTAGAGCTGGCCTGCAATTGCTGCATGATTCTGGCGGATTTGGCAGACTTCTTTGGACAATTCCTTGAATAATGTCTTTTTTCTCCGCAATTAA